ATACGTTGTATATTAATAACTGTCGATTATATATAAAAAACAGAGATTATAGAATAAGGAAGTGATTTCTAATTCCTACGATGATAAATGAATTAAAGATTTTGTTATCGCAAATTATTTTGTAGCCAACATTTGTTTTAAATTTTTATCTATCAATGTGATTTTTGCTCTCTATATAGACACAATCTAATTACATCAATTAACATTAATGATGTAAAAGTTCTACATAGACAGGAATAAGTGGAGTACGGTCCGCTTCACTTCGATGTTAAATGCGGAAGTACACCTATTAATTCGCGCGATATACATATATATACATGTATAATAAGTATTTAACCGTATATTCTTTAAGCGTTTAAGTATATTAGAGATTAATCTCTCTTTTTGCGATAATAAATCGAGTGATTTTTGGAGCAAGTAAATCATTTATTGGCAAAAATTCCATTGGCAAAAAACTGCAATAAATAAAAAATGAATTCATTTAATTAAATCTATAATCACGCACAAACACGCGTTTTTAACTTAACAAATATCAAGTAACATATTTAACTAAAATTATTAATGAATAATTTAAAAAGTAATAAATTAATATGTATTAAGCAATCTTTATTTATACATATATTGCATTTATATGTACTGTACACTATATAATCAATAAGAAATTTATTTTATTTTATTAGTAATAAAAATAAAAACATATTTACAGTCAGATATTTAGCACTCACTATGATCTCGTTAATGTAATATTTGTGCAAAACAAATGCAAATTAGTGAAATTAATACCGGTCTATTATACCGGTTTGTCGAATTTTTATTGCAAGTTTTTCTACGGAAAAATCATAAATAAAAACTTAAGATTGAATAATTTGCATAGTGATATTGTATAAATTGACATATTGCATAAGTAAAATTACTAAGGCATTAAACTAATAACTTGATATTTCAAAATGATTTCAATTTTAATTGATTGATCTCTTATCGATTTAGAGATAGGTTCAAGAAACATAGATCAGGAAATCATTATTTAAATTATTATTTTCATAATAAGTAAAAAGAGATTTTCTAATAAGAGAGAAATATCAACTGATAGTTTTTAATAATAAAAAAACAGAAATTGCAAATTTTAACGTTAATTAAGACTTTTTGATTTTTCGCGTATAACGCGAATGGTAATATAATAAATTAATATACCGCATAAAATCTTCGCAACGTGTCACATGTGTGACATGTGCTCCAATATCTTTCGAAAAAATCATTTCTAATCCCATAAATATCGCGACAACGGGATGTGTGCGCACGCCTTGCATGAGTTATTATATCATAGATGATGAATATTCATCGATGTGTCATACGACAGAGACGCGGACAAAACAGCGCAATGAAATACCGCCCGCGTAATGAAACCGCTCCGTTGTCCGCCCGCATTACTCTGACACGTCGCATTTTTTTTCCTGAACGGAACGCGGGTAACGAACGCGCGGGTGCAACCTTTGAGCGGTGAACAATCGACGCGCGTGATTGCACCCATCGGTTACACCGGTCGATCGTTACCGTCGCGGGCGATATCGATTCTCGCGACTCGTAAAACAAATTGCCGACCGAAGCGGTCTTTTCGCGAGCGCGAAATCGCGATTGCAATAAACCGCCGTGGTTTTTCCTCGCAATCATCTACACACTCGCGGAGATATCTGGCCGACATAATCTCTCGGCGGTCACAGTCTTACGCACATGTGTGTCGCACTTTGTAGATTTCGTAGAAACGAAGGCGATGATGCCACCCGATGGCGTGGCTCTTTCTAAATTACATGTATTACTATTTCCTTGGGCTCGGCGCCACACTTTTCCCTCGATATTATCGTTGCATTGTCATTGAATTTCCGCTTGACTGACTAGTGTATCGCAATCGCCAGTCTGATCTTTTCTGTTCCATTCGAAGATTCTATTTCTCTGTCGTGGAATTCCATTTCAACGTGCGAAAATAAAAGTGCGCTTTGCCTTCACCTTGTTTACGCGTGGTATGAACGAGAGATGAAACTACGGCAATGATAAATGCTACATTGAGATTGAACATAGTTGCACGCAATCAAGATTTTCTCTCGCACCTCGATTTTCATGTTTAATTTTGTTATGGCGTGACGTTATTAATAATAGCCGAAGGAACACGAAAAGTTTCCGAGAAAGATTTAATCATTAAAATGAGATTGTTTCAAAGAAAGAAATTAGAGTTATAACGAATGGATATAATTTACTATATATTGCCATAGTGTACGTCGTGTCTAATTAACTCTCACATAAAAACGAGAGGGAAATGTTTATGTTTGATATAAATTCGCATATAATTTGACATGTCACACGCATATTATATCTAATCTTTCTAGTCTTTTTAATTTCTATTTAACGACTTCTGCGTGGCTACTCCGTTTTCATAGGTCGCGAGATCAATGCTATTGTATGTCTAATGAACAAAGTGAATTATGCTCGGGACACGCGACCGCGCATGATAAGAATCGGAAACAAGAAAGCGTGCCTCTCGCTCTGCGAGAAAAAGAATCGTGAATGATGGAACGCGCATTTATGCTCTTTTAAAGGATATTATTAAGTAAAAGCCGCTGTCAATCTGCAGTTCTTGCAACCGAACCGAAGTATTAATCTATCTTTCCGCTTTCGTATTCATTCTCATATAGTCATCCGTTCAATAACATCCAAACTCATTCCATTCATTGCGAGATTTTCAATCCGTCAATTATGCTCCGAATGCAACATTATTGCATTACGCTTTTAAGATAATAATCTACATTTGGAATTAAACACGAGTGTGAAACGAGCCGCGTACATTATTAGAAAATTGATAATAAATCGTGACCACGTGTCTGCGCTACTTTTCCATCATAATTTTCTTATTAAGTGGATAAAATCGTCGTTATAAAAAATATCGTTGCAGTCAAATCCTGAATTTCTGAAGTCGATTTATCGTAGATTAAAATCTCATCCGAAGTCATAATGTAACAGGAATCGGTCTCGAGTTTCCTGTTTGAATATTAAATGCGAATACATATCTACTTGCATACAATCAAAAAACTTTCAATTGAGAAACCTTTCGCGTGCGCATTCATAGTATTTGAATTTTAAACATAAATCACCGAGCGCATTCGCCTTGACATTGCGCCGGTAAGAGAAAATCGCGCAAAAAGAGGCGGAAAGTGACCGTGGCGGGAGCTCACCTTGCCTTTGATATAGAGATCTCGCGGACAAATTAACTCTCTAGCAGCAAACTGGTATTGCACTTCGTTCCGACGATTGAGATAACCTTTACCCACGATTGCTCCAAGAACCCAGCTTCGTAATTGCGAGGTACGGTGTCCTTCGACGCGTCTGACGATACCTCGAGTGTCGTCAAGAGATTCGTAAATCGGCTGTAATGATTTCATCAGGCTTTACGTAACAAGAATGATCTTGAGGAAAGAAGAAATTAGGTCCGAAGATTCTATCCTATTGCTCCACCTTTCTCGAGTTTGCGCAAGAACGACGAAATTTATGCCGCGATAACAGATTTTTGAAGCGAATGCGATTTGCGTCATGCGAATCTAACTGATCCTTTCTGTAGCTTTTTTCAATGGTTTGATTGTGACAGAATTCCTTTTACATTATACACACTAGTTTGATTGTGATAGAATTCTTTTTACACAGATTATACAGATTGAAAGGCAAGAGAGTGAAAGACAAAGATTAAACACGAAATGATTATTTCAGTCATAATATCTAAAATTGATAAATTACAAATTATAAGAATTGTTGCTGTCGAGAACAAAATTATTATTAATAAAAAGTATATAAAGTCACGTAACGTGAATTTTTCACTGTAATTAATATCATTATTTATGGATTTAAAATCTTTGTGTCAAAATTTAATTTTTTGATTCTTTGAGTATCGAACAGTTTTTGATAAAATGTGAATATTGATAAATGTATCTGCCTCTAAATATTCCAGGTATTTAGAGAGAAATATCGTTATGGAGTCGTAAATTTCTTTGGCTTATGGTGAAAATTGTGGTAAGCGATCGATTAATCATAAAAATTGTCATGCACTTTCGTCACAGACGATATAACTTCAAAGCTCGGAAAGTGCGTGGTCAGATGTGCATTAGATTGCAGGAAGAAAGATAATTCCGATGTTTTACAACGCGCAATTTTCAACGCACGACTGTACATTTCTATCGGCTTTTAAAGCCTGTCTTGATAATTTAAAGCCTATCACTCGCTATCATTATGCAGCTAGTGTCATTATTTAACATCTGACAGGTCTACCTGAGTCTTTAATATAACATAACGATAATTACCATAATAACGGTCATTTTTGGACAGTTGTAATGCGGATAAAATTATCCTCGCAATGATTTGCTCGTTTACGGTACGCAAAGCACGTTTTGTCAGACAGCTGTTGCTACATGAGAATCTAAGTGATTAGAGACTACGTGAAAATACTCTTACTTTATTATAATTAATAGCCGACAATTTATATATGTGAAATAAGTGAGATACGTTCTTTATATCTATTTTTCATTCGGATCTATGTAAATCACCGGTATAGTCTCTGAACGTGTGAATGCTCATTGAGAAAGATTGTTTCTCAATTAAACGTCCTATGCTAATATCATGCACTTGTGTAGAAACCTTTTTGTAAACGAGGCGTTGCCCTACTTTGTAATATAGTTTAAAAGTATGAGACTAAATCTTTGAGACCTATTTTTTTGGATCCATACATTACATTTCCTTTTCGCAACAATTTTCACAATACATTCTACAATTTATAAATTAAAACGTTTATTATCTTATTGTGTTGTCACAGATATATTATTCTTTGTATGAAAATTTTTTAATTTAGAAACTTGTAAAGAAAAATCTTTTAAATTTATCGGGACACACTCTTGAAAATTAATATAATCTTTAGAAAGTATTCCTTGTATCTATATGAGAATTTATGAACAAACTTTTACTTGCAGATAATTCTAGTCCCATTTATCATGGCTATTCTGACGGGAGCCTCGGCGCAGAATTTCAGGCATTTCTTCGGGGGATTTAGCCCTTATATCCAGGCCGCGAGAGATCCGAGATCGAATAGAGGTAAGTTATTTAAAGAACAATGACAGTACGACAATAACAGTTATTTTATGCTACATAAAGCTTAGAATTATATTAACATGAAATTTTTATATTATATTTTATCTTTTAAAAAATTATTTTTGAATATATCATTATTAATGATATAACTAGTAATAATTTTAGAAGAATTTAGATTAATGTAATATAATCATTGTTAAGATTTTATTTATGATATAAAGTTGTAAACTACAGTCCAAATACAGAAATTTCTGGTGTAACTTTTCTAGTTTTCTGAGGTAACCTTTGCACTTTTATAAGCGTGCAGCTATATCAATTTGCATAATTCGAAGACGATTTGTCGCTATATTATTAGTGGGACTGCACATTTGCTACGAAACAATTACGCTTTCCTTTTTTATTTGTACGCTGTTATTAGACTTTTCAAAGTGGTCGTTCAAGTTTACGATATGCTTCGGAAGCATTCTCCTTGTATATCCTCCATGTTATCAGGAAGCTGAAAATCGTGCAATTACGATAATTTGTTATTATGTTTGAACTGTTTGCATACGCCATCAAGAACCGGCCTTGTTTCATGTGCAAAATAAAGATAGACATTCACACACTGCTCTCTTAGACTTCTACAATCGTTGGAAAGTTCTTCCTTAATGTAAAATATCTCTTGGAAACGAAATTTCATTTATTAGAATTATCGAAAAATAAAATAAATTATAATTGTACTTATATGTTTCATATATTATTGATCTAAAATCTTGCAAAAAATTAGAATTATACAACAATATACAACTTTTTCAGCATATAATCTCGCTATAAAATGTTATTTATTCTATTTATTATTTTAAATCATATAAATCTTAATTTAATTTTGGAATTGATGTAATTAACATATAATGATAAACTAAAGATTGAAAACTTAAAATTATTGTAATCCTAAAATTTATTTAACAGTTTGAAAAATTTTAATTAGAAATTCAGCAGATAAAATTGATAAAAAAATTACACGGAAATATTTTAGAGAATTAATTGTTACAGTTCTCATTATTGTATCGCGTTTGTTTATATAACATTTTGTACAAGACTCATAATCTAACAACTGTTTTTATGACGGTTAAATTCGCTCAACCGTAAAGATCCAAGATATAAAAGGAATGCTCTTGGTAAAGTCGTATAATCAGACGATTGATTGCAAGAGAAGAACGAGACCGAATTGAATTGTAGAGTTTCGCAGTTAATATAGAACCTATATCTAGCTTAGACGGTATGAAACTTTTACCGGAACAGCGAGACTAACTAGAAATTTACTTGTATACGTGTATACGTGTATGCATGTAACGGAAGGAAAAGCTAATGTTTATGTATCGTGAGCATCGTGAATTATGATAAAATGTTTAATAACGTAGTGCACCGACCATCTGGCTTCTGTCAATTATATTCCTATATTGGATATAATTGACAATTAATAAATGGTAACATGTTTGTAGAAAATATTGACACGAATTTTATAATGTATTATAAAATATGATTTATGGAAATAGAAATTACTTTATGCTAAAATTTATTCTAACATAATAAATTTATAAACATATAAATTTAACATGATATTCTAAAAATATTGCAATCTACATCTAACGTTGCAATACATTCCTCGACTCCTAGTTGATTGAACTACATGTTATTTAAACTATGCATAAACACTATTGCACGAGCAGGATATTCGAGCTTTGTAACTAGTTACAGTATTATTATGCGCATAACAGCATTGGTATGAGTGTCAAGTTCAAATTCAAGTATGATAAATAATATGGCATATACTACGTGTCTGACGAAATCCTCAACAAGTAGCCTAAGTCATATAAATCACAATTTAACTCAGCCAACGCAAATGCTAACGCTCAAGTCGTATACGCGATCGAAATCCTAATAGAAGGTATTATTTTGCTGTTACTGTCTATCCTGTAATATACATGCTTCTTATTTAGCTCACGCATTTTAAATTCTTGTAGTCAAACGTCAAAAATTTTGAAATGTGTACATCTCGCACTTTACAAATGATTAACGCTTTCGACAATCCTTTCGACAATCTATCTTGCGGTCATACTTTTCATTATATCAAGGCTATTGCTGACAAGAAGTCTGCAATCATCGGGATAACATCAGAGGTCTACATCAGTCAAATAAATTGTCCGTTTTCCTATTGCTAAATATTCATAGCGATTACGCATTGAAGGTGCGGTTAGTTCGCGTATTTTATTACTACGTGTATTTTATTACTTCATTATAAATAATGAAGAGGAAAAAACACGAAAACTGGTGTTTGTTACCTCCATATGTTACATCGCTGAAATAATTATTTTAATAAATTTAAATATATCAAGATAAAGATAATATCTTTATATATACAATATTGCAGTAAATTGATTAGTATAATACACGAAGAAAGCTTCCTGGTATTAGAAAGGATTTTCACTACTGCTCTATAGATAAATTCAACTTTCTTTTAATGAACGACGTAACAATGTGATGCTATTATTAAATGCACTTTATTGAATAATCTAAAATACACGATAAATAAAAGTAATTTGAAAGTAATTTTCACTTATAAGGTTACTGCTTTTGAAGCAGTTCCTCTTTAAAATTACTTTTAACTGTTGGTAAAACTTTTATGTGCCATTAAAATAATAGCTGCCGTCAGTTTTGAAAAATATTAAACGAGTAAACGAATAAAAAATGAATATAAGTACTTAATTGATGTGAGCATATTATAATAATTATAGATGAACATTTTAATATTAAAATATATTAATATAATATATATGCAATTATATTTATCTATAAATAATATTATAAACATATTATTTTATTAAATTTATTATTATTATATATTATAAATATGTATATTATTTTATAATTATATTTTTCTAACAATTCAGTATATATAAAAAAAGATATTTCTATTACGCGAATAAAAGTTTTTAATTAAACTTTTGTGAAATTAATTAAAATTTTCTCAATATTTAATGTGTTAATGATACTTTATTTTCTACTGTGTAACGTGTGTATCAATGCATTAATAAAACTAATAATAATTTTAGTGATTGATCCAAGAATTCAATTAATTTTTCTCAATCTTATTAAACAGTTTTGATAAGACTCTAATAGATTTTGTATATCACTATTTATTGTATTACACAACACACTATAAATACACATATAAATATTGTTTAATATATCTACGGATTATCAAGTTTATTAAAGACGAATATTTACAATAATACATGCTATTGTATTACTATTTGATTATAAATCGTTGATTAATGGTATAGTCCTAAAACAATAGTTACGTTAGGACATTCCAATAAAAATTATGGTAAGAACATCATGTATCTTTTTATATAATTTAATATATTCCTCCAAGATCTTACATTTTTTTTATATCATCTTTTTATATCATGATAAACAATCATGATAATGATTAGCTTCAACGAGAAAATTGTGAGAACGTTTAATTATTGTTAATGTTTATGCATATGATTTTTTTCCGTAGGTCCAGTATTATTCCCACCTGGGCCGCCACCTAATTCAGCTGACTCTAGTGGTGTCATCGTGGGCGCGAGCGGATATGGATTTGTGCCACCCTCCGCAGGTAATTCGTACACCAGGTTCTGAGAATCGAAAGATTCGGAGAAGCATTTAAAAAAAAAGAAAAAGATACAAGAAGGTTCGGGAAAGGAAAGGGATCGGTGATGGAATACGAGTCGGCGAGCCTTCATATGACCAATCCCTGCATGTTAAATAATTTAAAGAGCCGAAAGATAACAGAATAAGATAAAACGAAAAAGAAAGGGAGAGAGAGAGAATATCTCTCATCACGTAATACCTCGTTCACCTCTTTGCACCCAACTTATATATAAGCACTATTTATTTTGTCACCCACAAAATAAGTCAATGTTACACCCACAAACTTTAATTCTATTTTAATTCTATTTTTTTCGTCATGCATGTACAACACTATAGTTGTTGTTTTACAAATAGTTCGAAAAGACACATAAAGCTAATAGCATATTAACATTCCAAAACAATGATATCACGTAATAAAAGAATATCTATGACAATATCAAGTAAGGAGTTTTAATTATTATATAAATTTGTCGCGAAAAAAGTGCGTATGAATGCGTATAAATGTATATAATAACATTGCTGGTTTATTCACACCGAATTGGATACGTCAATATTGATAATATAATGAAATTAAATGCGATATCAAATTGTAAATGCAATATTGCATTTTAATATACTATAATTAAACGAAATATATTAAAACAATAAACGTGATATTTCTTTCATTGTAAAAAATTGCGTGACTATTCGAACAATCTTTATAATTGTTAAGAATATTATAATATATATAAATGCACTGTAACTTAATAAAAAAAAATCTAGCAAAGCTGACGTACGCATAACCCTTGTACAAATTTTGATCTCTTCCTTCATATGTTATATAACGATAAAAAAATTGATTTATTAAAAATTAATACATATGTAATTCCGACTCTCGTGTCGAATACACAGAATTGAGTTCAGATTGGCAAACTGCAGAAATCATTTCCCCATTACCTTTATCATTAGGTTCTCGCGAAGGTCGACTTTGTTACTTTTTCTGACGTCCGATCCTTGAATCTTGACAAGTACGTCATTTTGCGAGTGTACTAATGATATCCCATCGTTCAGTGTTCAAGAATAATAATCAGTTTTTCTCCTTTTACATTCTCGAGAAACTGTACGTGGGGATAGCATTACAATGGACGGATACAATTGCGAGCATGCTAAGCTTCAACTTCGATATCTCGTTCTCTATTTTACGATTCCTATTGAATTGGACGATTGCGATTTCGGGATCGCAAACCGCGACAACGAGACGCAATACTAATACGTGGTACGCGGGTTCTTTAGTCACTCTAGTAACGTGCACCACAGCATATCTCTCCGTCAGCATGCCAGAAATGCACACTAGCAAATAGATAACATAATATCCTGAATTGCAGGTAAGTCTGTAAAGTATATAGTTTAATATATATTATATGAATATATATTTTTTGTTATAATTGAGGGGATTTCAAAAACATCCAATAAACATTTCCGCTGACATAATCTATAATTACATGGTGACGATGAACGTAAATTATTATTATTATTGTTTTTTAAAAATGAAAACTTTCGCTAGATCTTGATCTTATAACCTTGGCATCCAATCATTTATCATCGTTTACTCGAAACTAAGCGAAATTGGATTTACAAATTCGAGATATTCGATTCACAAACCTAGACAGATTGTGAAAGAACCATAGAATACACATAGATTTTCTTATACACACATAGATTTTCTTGCGTAATCGGCTTCTCGATTTCCGTGACCGTAATACAGACAGCATGTCTCTTCCGGTAATTTAAGCATACTCGCGGCTTTCATTTTTTTCGCGCCGTCCTTCGCACCTGCTTTCAACCGTTATCGAAATAGACTCATCAAAAGGCATAACGAGAGACATCATGAGAGGAAGCAAGAGGAAAAAATTGCCACGAGAGAAAAGGAGCGTGAGGTGGAACTTGGTACTTCCTTCTTCCGCGAACGCGGCTGGATACCGGTTTTCTCGCGCGATGAATCTTCAGCCTTGGAACACGCTCGGAGCGTCCGCGACGGTTCAGTGAAAGCGATTTTAGCTACGTGGCCTCGTGTGTGGCTTAAACCCGTTTTACGCGTAACCTTACTTAAGTTGCTCCATTGCGTGTAACAGGTGTTACGAGGTCGACAAGGTTGCCTTTTTGGTCAGCGACCAGCGTTACACGAATGCTGGTGGAGAGACAGAGACCGAAGAGCGAAGATCAATGCTCCCTTAGTCTCGTCTTTGACCCGACCGAATCAGACTTGACGGTCATGCGCGGTCAAGTTCGATCAACTTATTTTATCGTTCGCGCGAATCACGTCCTCCTTTCTCGTTTAATACGAATCCTTTCTCGTTTAATTCTAAAGAAAGGAATTACGATATCAAACGAAGAAACGCAATTTTTCGATCGTTCTTTGATTTAAACAATTTTTTTAACATAAGCGAAAGTCGATATGCGTAAAGATAAAATATGTAAAGGTATGTATCTTAATTGGAGAAATTATGTAACGTTCGTGTTACAGCTTATTGAAGAATTTCGCCAACAAATGTTTATTGAATAACAAAATGATTGCAAAAGCCCATAATTCAGTACTACATTAGTAACCATAAAATTAAGTCTCTCCCTGCGACAGATGTTATGACATCCTCGATGGAGACGATGATTTTAGTCACGAATTTGCAACTGTCTCCTGGAAAGATCAATATTATTCGAGAACCTCAGGTAGTCAAGTTTGCAATCATCGATCGACGAAAGGAGTAAGAACTCTTTCGATTGAGTAATATGTGTGTCTGCGAAATTCAATGCAAAAAACGGAGAAAGAACGTAACCGCGCAATGAGTAATGCGTGGGCACGTTATTGCAATAAAGGCTTGATTCCCGCAATAAAGCTTTATTCCCATAAGCTGAAATATATTTCTGTCGACAATAATTGCCCAATTTGACGAGGACTAGTTGAACAACAAAGATTCATAAATTATTTGTACTCTGAATAACTCCTTGTTTTAGAAATTTGTTGTCTTGTGCGAAAGATTAAATGCAAATACATATTCACTAAATATCATACAACGCTACGTGATGCGATTCCTATAATTCTATAAAAATTAACGAGGGATTATTACTAATGATATTGAAACTCGCGTACGACGCAGAAGAAGTGAATGGTAAGCGAATAAATTCCTCTGGATGAAGAAACACGAGGCGGATATCGAGGGAGGACCTGTATACCTCGCATTTTATAACACTTTGCACTCGTTAATACACGCAACTCGACGCGAAACAGGAATCTCGGCAATCGGGCCATGATTAATGTTGTAGAGCATTAAGGGCAAGAAACGTTAAGCCTGAAGTAAGACTTGAGGTTGTAGTTAGGGTAGCAGCTTTATCGGGACAATTTTGAAGATTAACCAGCCCGTTAGCAGATAACGAGTGTAAAGTATGATTTAATTCTCTGGCGGAGGAGAAGTTAAGGCGCTGAGAACCGTTGAAACACGTACTAATCGGATTGATAAAACCGAAAAAGTGAGATTGATGCAATTCGCGTGCGAGCAACTTCCGTTTTCATGAAATAATTCTCGCAATAATTTTCATTTCTAAAACTCGAGAGATATTCGTGATAAAAACGAGTGCGTGTGAATATCCTTGTCTGCGTTTCCTTATACGAACTCTGTAAGTCTTGCGCAGCTAAACAAATAAAATGAAAAGTGGAAAGATTCTAGAATCAAACGATCATTCGTTTCCCTTAATAGTAATTAAACCCGACGATCTGCATTTAATTATGTAACGCGCAAAAAACTGACGACCCCTCCGGACATCCTTGACAGAAATTTATCTGGGGGTTGAAAGAAGGAGGGAGCGTGAAAAACGAATTTTCTCCAAAACTCGTCGCCAGTATTCCCATGTGGGAACAAACTCTCCTAACTTAACGATGTCTCTGTTAAGTACTTTTTCACGGGACATTAATTTAGAACTTGAATGAAAAGACCTCGCACGACTGCGTTAAAAAGTTTTATAGTGATTCGATATAAAATTAGTGGTTTAATATATTCTGCCAAGCAATGCAAATAATGTCGACGGTATTAAAGCGGCAATGCAAAGTACTATTTTAAGAAGTGCACGTTATTTGCAAGATATTTATCACTTTGCCATTGATTATTATATATCATTATATATTAAATAAATTAAATATATTTTATAGAGCAGCATTTTACATTACATTTTTCATAGAGCAAATATTTCAACGTCTTTGGATAATAAATATTATAATAAATCTTAATATATAAATAAAACTTACAAATCATACTTTTTCACGGGACATTAATTTAGAACTTGAATGAAAAGACCTCGCACGACTGCGTTAAAAAGTTTTATAATGACTCGATATAAAAGTAGTGGTTTAATATATTCAGCCAAGCAATGCAAATAATGTCGACGGTATTAAAGCGGCAATGCAAAGTACTATTTTAAGAAGTGCACGTTATTTGCAAGATATTTATCACTTTGCCATTGATTATTATATATCATTATGTATTAAATAAATTAAATGTATTTTATAGAGCAGCATTTTACATAGAGCAAATATTTCAACTTTGTACAATAAATATTATAATAAATCTTAATATATAAATAAAACTTACAAATCATACAAAAATTATAAATGTAACGTCTAATACGTAAAATTGTATAATTTGCATAACGTTTATAATCTTTTAATATAAAATCAACGGCATTTTCTAAATATCAGCAATATAACGAGGTAGCAAAATAAGCGCTTCGATCATGCAATTCATTTTAAAACCGGATTCGCTCGCCGCCATTTATCGACAATTATTTCGGAACACTATCATTCGTTGTTAGGACGTTTAAATTGACTTTAATCAGAACTGGCAGACTCTTTTCGGTCCCCTAATGGCTTCTATTCGAATCCCTCGTTCGTTTCGCGGTCGACTTTATTATCGACACTGCGTACAATCTTGCTAACGCACACGCATGCTATGTGTGAAACTGAGAGAGAATTGAGAGAGCACCAGGGGACCGGAAAAGCGAGCACCTACTAATCAAAGGGTAGGAACGAAAGGGATGGGGGTCAGTCGCTACTATAGCGGGTGACGAGACAAGGTGACGAGGGTCTTATAATTAGCAGCTTTGAAGTGGTATTACCTCTCGCTACTCATTAGCGACGTTCAAATGCTCTGAGCATTAGCACTTCGAACGAGGCTTTTGGCAATGGCAGATGGAAATCATACGGATTGTTGAACGAATCTGATGAATCTCGCGCTGATAAATTTAAGAACTCTCGACGATAATCGCAAGAATATCGAAAGATAAAAGAAATGGGAGAAAGAGGAGGAAAGAGAGAGAAGGAGAGATAATTTGATTGCGCAGGGAAAATCGAGAAAGTTTAAAAGCGATTTTACCGCGACAATGACGAAGAATCCGGCGGAATCTCCCGGCGTAAGCATCCCGAGCGCGAAAGTGCAAGCAGTTGGCAGAAGCAAAAGTTAATCTCTTCCTTGTTTCCTTGCAGTTTCGCAAGCGGAACAAGAGATGAATAGAATAGTTTCTTTGAATCTGTATAATTACAGTTTAAAGATCATTTGCAAATCCCTTAATATATGATATGAAATATATCCGCGCGATAAGTTTATAAGGAATAAATTTTGTCCATATATATGCGATATATTATTTTTTAAATATTTTTCGATTATTCTGTTGTCACTTTAAATGTCATTTTAATATTAATTCGAATGCTTAAAAATATTTAAGAATCGATTTTTCATTTTTATGTTGCAGGTTACGTCACTTATTTATATTACTAAACGTCGAACGATAGCAAAAGGATGACAATTTAAAGAAGTTCAAGATTTGGGACGTCACGGCTCGCAGATTTTAATTAAAATAATTGTGGTAAATTCATAGCGTTACGCGATGACACGTAGCCATTAAAAGAAGAACGAATCTAGAGTAATTTAACAATAGCTTTTCTATTCATGATTAGAGGCGTGAGAATACTTCCATCTCTTAACTCCTTGCTGGATTACATAAAGTTCTCAAGATAAGAGAAACTATTAGTGCAATACAAATAGAATAATGTAAGTATGTCAGGATGCAATAAAGAATTTCAAATGAACCGTTCCTTCTCAAAGCATAATGAATAACAAGTATTAATGCAAAAAGTGAAAATTTTACGAAACAGCATAAAAAGTAAACGAAATTCATATTTTCTTATCTCTTTAATTAAAGATTATTTAAAATCAATCTATTATAAATGGCATCAATAAAATTAAAATTGATATTATGCTCTCCACTTGGTCTAACGCCGCGATAATCCCGTATAAGGCAACAAGAACGTCCGTTGCATATAATAAAGTCTACGAAAGTACAAGTCGTATTTTATGATGCATTATATTACGGGTACTCGCGCCTTTGCGTGGCAATAACGTTAAGGCGTGTACAAATAATAGCAAGCAGAAAGCATTGTATACGACAGTGCAATCCTAGAACAAAGCGAGCGACGGTGAATTGCGATCCGCTCCGGTATTACAGTTGAGATATTCATAAAAACAAGATTGGTAAATATAAGCGGATCCGCGCTCCGCTGAATTTATAAAATCACTAAAACCAGTGGTAGGTTTTACTTACTGGTAAGTTATTTATTGCGACTGCAATAAATGGCGATTTAATTAAGTGTAGATAGCCTTTTTTGGGGCGAATAGCCGTAATGCGATCCCAAGACCGATCCGTGTTCAAAATGTTACCGCTATACAGAACGATACAGTTTGACAAGTAATACGTAACGTTGCATGTAAATATAGTATATCTTATGGTGCAGAGTAAGAGAGAAATGGACAGAAGTCGCGAATCTCTCTATGAGAAACTATTGCATTTAATTCCGTGATCTAATCGCGATTTTTTTTTAATAAGATAACATTTTACACATTTTATATTTTTTAATTGAGATAACGTTTCACTTATCACGTTCTCGATTAATTTAAACCGCATTCGCCAGATTTAATCGCGTGGTACACACTAGCGAAAAATATGTAAATTCGCAACTTTATCGATCCATGACACCAAAAATGTCATACTTAGAAAGCGTCCTAGATATAATTCCCATTTGTACAATTTTCTGGGGACATATAAATATGGCCGATCTTAGAAGATTTTTGTAAGAATTTTTGTAAGAAACATGTAAATATATTATGTAATCTATAAAAGTGGAATAAAAAACTGGCTATATATCGTATTCACTTTATTACCCCTTACCCATAATTACAAATTTTACATTTGCATATCTTGTAAAATAAATTAAAATGCATTTAAAAATACTTAACTAAATTTCTGTACATTTTTCAATAAAAATTAATCAATTGCGATAAATTTCTATTGTAGATAAGCATTAATAATTGACGACAGTTTTACCGCGCAAAGAATCTAAATATTCCGAAATAGCAAACCTTTCAGTTTCTTAAGCAGATCTCGTTCAAGAATGAAATTTGCCAATAAAATGATAATACGATAGGCAGCCCTCTTATCCGCGACGAAATCTGTGGTACACGACGCTCGCACGACGACGATAATTACTATTGGTGCTGTGTAACATCGTGCTCGTGTATTGGTAATTACGAAAGTTTCCTGCAACTATTTTAACGCGCTCGAAATATTCAAACACATACCTTCAACTATACATAGACTCTCACTCGATCTTTGCGGACGGAGAAACTGTGTCTTATAATATATAACGAAAGTCGAGTCTGTGTCGTGCATTAATAACTCTGGAAAAACATGAATATTAATCTAGCTTTAGCAGTTACAAGCAAACTGGAAAATAGAAATAAGCGGAACTATTTATATATTCACGATTAAGGTTAAAATAAATTGTTAACTAAATAATTATCCATGTAAAATAATGGTCTAAAATAATTTGTGTTGTATGATTATTCGTAATCTTATATCTCAAAATTGGCGCAAGCAGTTGGAAATACTCAAATTATTTAGATTCTTTGAAATATAAACGACTCATTACCATTATAAAAGTTCTAAAAATTTAGAGAAAGCTTTAAAACTTTCCAGCTTTAATCTCCTAATAGCTTCAAGACCGATTTTCTAATTCTAATTGTAATATAGTTTTAATAGAATGAGAATTATGCAAATTGGATTTACAATATTATTTATTAATATTGTTGATAATAATTAGCTAGTTAACATTTGGGCTAGTAGTTAAAGAATTATAATTTTAGATTCTATTTAATTTTTGATTTAAATACACTTAAATACTATTAAATACACTTATTATCTATTTACGACACACGGATATATGACATGACAAACAGTTACTTAAGCATATTTTCACGCATGATCTGTTAATTAGTTCTAAGAGAAAATATTTTAGAGCGAATGAAGCAGAATATTCGCGCTAGATAGTCGCAAAAAAATAACTAATTATTCATGCAATTATCATTTTTCCATAAGAATAATATTTACATGATTTCGTACAAGAATATTATTTACAGTTGATTTCTAAATTATGATATATCGTCGCTATGATCTCTCTCGTAAAACCGGTAGGATTTTTCATCTAAGATTCGATCGACGTGAGATTCATCACGACATTCATTACAACATCGCGCGCAAGATTTCATTACATGATTCGTGTAAGATGTATCGTATATCCGCGCAAAAAGATAAGGATCCGGTGGAGATCCACTGAGAATGCTTATTCATTCTGGAACTAACTAACTCTAGCCACGTGTTAGGTAGTCAAGGAAGATTTGAAAGTATGTAGAGAACATTAATACATCGTTCGACTTGGCGTAGAACAAAATCATCAATAATTCTATATAAAAAAAAGTAATTTTAGAGAAATATTTTATAGAAATATATTTATTATTTATTTAAATATATTTATTTCACGAATTGCACCGAATATATATAAACTGCATATTTCAATGCAGAAAGTATGTAGTCGATACGATTGTGCTCGATATCTTAAAATAAAAGAATTTTAATTATGATATTCTAAGAAATTAATATTTAAGATAATTATTACTTTTTCTTATTAAAAATAAAAATTGTGCGTTTTAAATACTACATATATATGCAAGATGTTATCAGCATCTTGTTATTATTCTTGTTAAAAATCTCCAAAATTAATATTTTATAATCATAAAAAAGGCGACGTGATAATACAATATTTACTTAATAATTACGAAGCAATTATTCTAATTTATACGAACTCTTTCGCGTTAAAATAAAAAATGCGGAACGTTAATTGTGCATGCGTGATTTGAGAACAAAGGTAGAATTGGACGACGCAGGGAAAGTTTCTCTCAAAGAAAAGATGTCTCGCGATACTTACGCGGATTTTTACTTCGTTCGTCGTGTTGCAAAGACATCGTTCCCGTCAAATCGGTGTCACTTTCCGCTTCCGTGACGAGGAAACGTCGTGCTTGCGCGTCACTTTTACCTCTCCTCGAGAGAGTATCGGGTACTTCCAGTCTACCGAACAAATGTTCAATCGATTATCAGGCAAGCGTCGCCGTTGCAGCCTCTCGCCTGCATCGCATTTATCGAGTAGCTGTCGCGGCGAATTTCTAAAGACTCCAGATCCGCATTTCACTCAACTGATGATAATATGAAATACTTCATGACACGTAATATGGATATATCTCTTGATTTGATTCTTCCCTTTTAACCTGTATCGATAATTACCATCGACATAGCTCTCAAGTTCATTGGAGTACTCAAATCTCCGGTAAATAGGATGGAGATATATCATCGAAAAGGCAAAATTTGTATTATTCTAATCATGTATCATATTCGTATACCGTAATCGAATGCATTCATAGCATTCTTAATTATATGCTGATAGACGTAAAACACGCAAATACATATATTTTCCACATAAACACATGTATATCAAAGATCAAAGCTACATCTAGCTAGAAATGTAGCTTTGATCTTTATTAAAGATCGAGAAAAAAAACTGCTTCTGTGTTACTAGTTAATTATTATCGCAGATAAGCGTGAAACATTTTATTCTTATTTACGACCCGACTGCATTTTAATTTAATGCACTGATATGTTCTCCATTTATTTTAGACACCTGTTTTATTCAGATTACGTGCCCTTACATGCCCTTAGATACGCAATAACATATGCATATTTTTTTCAAATGTATTTTTTACATCCGCTGACTAATTTTGATTATTTATCGTAGTTATTATCATGCTCAAATTAATTAATTTTCAGATCAGTATTGGGCTTATCTTTCTTAACCGCATTCTAACTAGGCCTAGCCAGATATATAGTTTCTTAATATTTATTGCAGATTGATGAAAGAGAGAAATTCCTTTCGTTGTTAGATAATTATTATCGCTCGTGAGAATAATTTTATGCGGTGAGAATAATTTTATATTTATAATAAGATATGACTGTTTATCATGTGTCATTTTGATATAAATTTGCTTTAATTAATATAATGCCAAGTTATCAATCAAAATTAATTGAAATTTTTATAATAATATATAATACTATTTATAATATAATTTGTTTATACTATTTATACTATACTATTATACTATACTATACTATTTATAATATAATTTGTTTAGATTAAAATAAAATTTAAAATTTTAACATTTATATTATATAAAAATTAATTGATCAATAATTTGGCTTTACATCAACTAAAATAAAACTTTCTAATATTTTATCATAGATGGATGTACTATAAAAAATTAAGACAAAATCGGCATAAAATAAAAATAAAAATAAAAGTTGTTACTATTACAAATAATTAATAAAAATAGTGCCTTTCTTAAATTATATTTATAATATGCTTTAATGCATATTTTAAAAATCTATTAAAAGTTATTTAAAAACTTAATCTATTACTTAATCTAGTACTTAATCTATTTTAGCCCATCCATTTTAGCAAAAATATATGTTTAAAGTGCACAAAAATATATGTTTAAAGTGTGTTGTCGATGTTTCGACGAAATAATATTTATTTCACTTCGAAAAGGATCCAGAGCAAATCGAAACGTCGTCGACAGCACACTTTAAATATATATTTTTGCGCTTCTTATTATATGTAAGTGGAATAACCTTATAAAGTTTCTCTATCATAATATATTATTACCATCACGCACCATTACCCGCGTCTTTGATTCCTAGCCTTCTTTTACTTTTTATTAGATTTGTATTATTCGAATCATTTTTATATATTAAAATTTTTTTTTAATATTTGTTTAATAATTGTCTAATAATTGTTTAATAATTCTATTAAAAGTTATTTGAAAATAAATTTTTAGATTATAGTTTTTATGTAAAAATCTTTTTTCTAATTTTTTTCTTATTTATGTCATGTAAATAAAAAATCAAATTACACGACTAATTTAAACTTAATTTAAATCACGCATACGCAATTAATAAATAATTATATATAAGTGATAAGGTACTTACAATAGGGTTGCCCCACCGATGCCCGATGTCTTCCTCTTTCTTCTCTCATGACGCGCGATACTTTTAACGGCACTCCCGCACTTATACGTGTGAAATTTTTATCGTCATCCGCGCGTTTTGATTTTTATTTGCAGTAATGGATAATAGTACTTTGATAGAGATTTATCATTATAACAACATAGTTTGTGACGCGCGCGCGTGTCATTTATCAAAAATTTAATAAAATTATTAATTATGATACTCATAGCAAATTATATTTCGATTGTCGCGATCGCGTTTAGAGAAAGAATTCGACTTATACAAAGCGTTTCGCAGCACTACCTTACTATTCGAGTGTCGTCGTGCGAATGATAACAAGGCCCTGACATGTAAACAATAGCGCGCTTATATATGAAGGCCGAACACTATGTCTCGATTTGATATCGAAATATTTTACGTATTTTAACATATATACGCGGAATATTAAAATATAGAAATATTTCAGATTATAGATTATAATTATTTATTAAACAATTGACTCACAGAGATAACCTTTGTTATGTTAATTATTTGATTGTACGATTTAAGTGTTTTATATTATGTATTCTTGATGCAAATTATATCTAATCGTCAAAAAGTAAAAAGATAAATAATTGCGGACGAAATATATTTGATGTCTTATTAGAGGAATAATTATTATTTAAAGATCGCAACAAAAAGATAATTTATAATTTGGATTCCTGTTTCTCACACGCATACACGCACACATTGATTTTTACTCGCA